TGGAAATACAATATAAGGGTACGAATATAAAAAAAAAAAATAATCGGACCTAATTTGTTTGGAAGCATGCCTTACACCTTTAAAGGTGAAATTATATCTACACACGCGTTATGAGTCTTCAAGGACACATGGCACAGTGGATAAAGGCGTTGGTTAGATCCAGTGACTGGACCCAAAAAGTTTGAGTTCAATACCCGTTTAAGGCAGTGGAGAACTTTCAGATGGAAATTAACAGGAGATAAGTGATAACTGACATCCATTAAACATGGCACGTGGAACTAGAACAGTCTACCCCAGTGAGCGAAATAAAGGGTTCAGTTCGACATTCCAACTACGTGAAGAAGCCGGAGCGTACAACGGCCGAAACGTTGTAATAAATATGGCGACAAAGATGAGGACAATAGACCGAATAATGTAAATAGTGTACATAATACCTCATCTCAGAAATATAAAAAGATACTGAAAGGCCGAAATGTTGTAATAAATATGACGACAAAGATGAGGACAATAGACCGAATAATGTAAATAGTGTACATAATACCTCATCTCAGATATATAGAAAGATACTGAAAGGCCGAAATGTTGTAATAAATATGACGACAAAGATCATTAGTCCGAATAATGTACATAATGTACACACGTTATAAATTCATCGAGTACGGTAATATGAGATTATATGTGATAGATATATAAGAAATGTTATTAATGATGGGTTCTAAGTGTATTTTTAATTGTTGTATATTATATTAATATTCGTGAAATCTATTTTGCAATCTCTTTTAATCGGGGTCAAATTTTGAGCCTATCAATGGACACATGCAAACATCAATTCAGACGTCCTGTTCAGCAAGTTAGGAGATTATGTAAGTGTTTTAATATAATAATCTTCTCCAACAAACTCAAGTTACATCTGTCACTCTTTCCATTGTATGCATTTGCTTTCGCGATTATCTCCCATCTACTGGTTGGGGTCTTATGGCTGTTTTTTTTAAAAATCGCCAACATACTTTGAAAGTGTTGTGCAATTTTTGTATTTTATATTGCTCAGTTTCCTTTTATGGTGGTAAAAACGTAATTTCCAGCTGTTCTTGGTGGATCCAAAGTAATATTTAACATAATTGTCTAAATTGATCCTAGCTCTGTATATTATGCCTTGAGTCATGCAATGGGCATTTATTAGGCAGGTTACATTTTTACGGCAGTTGCATTCGTGCGATGGGTAAATTATCGCCATTTACCATTTTTAATTTCGCGCCCTACATAATAGTGTCAATTGTGCTCCGTCTGTGAGAAATAAAGTACCATGACGCAATTCTTTCCGCCCTAAAAATGTACTGCTTGGAATTCGCGCCTGAAGCTCCAATACGGACATTTCAGTGTGTCTGGATGTCAATCTAAGGACAGTGTAGGGGATTCGGAAATGGTTGGTGATTACGAAGCTACGGCAGCTCGGACAACTCACTCTGATCGTTCTGATAAGAAAGGAACTCCCGAATATGATTGCAAGGGACTCAAATTCAACACGGAGGCACACAAAGAGAAGTTAGTGTTGCTCTTGGTCAAGAGCGTGGCTACTTTAAGACCCTGTACCTGGCAGTATGCCATACAAACAGTAGAATCCAGTCATAGCTGTCAGATAATTTCTACGACAACATCACCTCTTACGTCTAGCCACCTAACTCTCCAGGCTGCAACTGTCTTGATTATTATGTGTGGGGCGCAATTGTCCGAGAGACCAGCAAAACTCCTTGTAACAGCAAAGATAAAATGAAGGCAAAGATTACAGCAGCATTCGCCAACTAAAACATGGAGATCGTCCAGAAGAATTGGTTGAAGTCAATGGCGATTTTATTAAGTAAATTCACTCTTTAATATTTCAAGATATTTTTGTGTAATTTTGGTAAATATATCTGTTAAAATGAGATGTCAATTTGTATATATGATGGCAGAGACGCCATCAAAATACTGCTTTCACAAATTGTCGCCCGCAGCAAGAGTGGGCTAGTATGACACTTGAGAAAGCAAAAATGAATGATGATTTTCCCTTACCTGATTTTCTCCACAAATGCCCCTGTTAGCATGCATAAGGGTTAAACGAAAGGCACCATCCAATGCTGATCATTTTTCGTTCATGATAGGAGAGTCCACCACTATATATATATATATATATATATTCATACATGTTTCATTAAATAATATAGACAAGTTTTGTCTATTTTATGTAAATTCTTTTCATAACGTCTGATAAGCTTATTAACATTATCATTAAATGAAGAAAGAAGATCACAATATTGATACATATTTTTTTAATCCGATCTAAGCTTTCGGCTTACATAAGATGACAATTACAGTACAATATATTAAGCAATACACGGACAAGAAAGTGATGATGGTCTGTTTCTGTTTACATGAATGATTTCCAAGGAACGATAAACACGTGCATATAAGACGCTGGAAGCGAAAATTGCACCGCAGCTCATGACGTCACACATGACCATGCGAGATTGAATTCGAGAAGTATTAAGAATGGGAAGCCGTTGGTATAAACCAATGTCTTCTGGTACCAATTATAGACATTTAAGGATTTTTGTAGAAATTTCATAGTTTATTTTGTTTAGGTTAGGTTTCAACATAACATAACAGAGCCTAAAACTGGATTTTACTTTACGATTCAAGAAAATATAATTTTTCTGATTGCAGGATTTACTATTTTCAGTACAAAAACAGAATCTTTGGACGATATCTTCATAAATTTGATCACGTCGTGCAAAAACTGTTTAAAAAGTTAGGCAAAGACAATAAAAATTTAAACAAACAAAACTTGTCTGTTGAATTTAATACAAATTATATATATATATATATATATATATATATATATATATATTATACAATGAATTGATACTTCCTGCTCTACTGTTCAAGGCTCATTAGTTTTCGCTTATAAGTCTTTAGACGGTAATTAATTCGATATGTTTTTGATAGCATTTTCAGACCGACGTCTTCTGAAAATTCTATTACTTAAGTAGTTACTGAATATAATACTCTTATTACAAACAGATTGTTCCAGTCTGGGAAGTTTATAGACAATGCCAAAACGATGTCATAGACTGCTATGCCTCACATATTTACCCGCCATTGGGGAAAAAAATGCCTCGATGCTAAATTCGTTACACAAATTAAGGATTAGGGTCATGCCCGGAGACGCGGGTGGTCGAATCAGATATTTAGTATACCAATCCTGTTATACGAATTATTATTTTTTATTTTTTTATTTAAAAACTTATGTTTATTTTTTTAAAATAATTATGGTCGTCAATCACTGAGGAAATTTAAGACGACAAATCTTTTTTTTTTTTTTTTTTTAGAATCCGTTTTTTTTTTTGATTGGTTATTAATAAATTGTATAAAAGAAGCAAGAATTTTTCAGTTCTCTGATGATTACTACATTAAAACATATATAAA